CACAATTGCACCAAAGAATTGGTTGTTCAAAATATCTTGCTTCAAAACGGTACCTTTTTGAGGAGTCATGGTTGTGTTGACTCCCATAGAAAGAAATGGGAAATTGTTGAAAGACATTACTTTAATCAAGGATATTGTTTGTTTATTCGCGGTGTCGAATACATACCTCTTTTCCGTAGTGATATATAGTCAATTAAAGTATTACCAAACAGGCTAAAATAACGCATTCATCATTTCTTTAACATGAATCGGTCAGATTCGCAATCATGGGTAGGCTTTACGAAATGGCGCTCATTAATTTTTTTATTTGCAGTCAAAAATGATCCTTTTGGCATTTTGCTCCCCTGAGCTTGATTATACTTTAAACACTATCCAATTTTTCAATTTCAGGCGCTAAATCTAAATGCCTCTTACTTGATATTTAAAGTTCAACTTTTGAAAAAAGGTAAAGTGGAAAAATTCACTGCAAAATTTGACCATTTTGTCGAAATTTTTTAACAGAGGCACTATTCTCATTGGTTGTTTGCGCACATTTTTCAAGTTGCCAGTCTCAACCCTTTGCGAGTACATCTGGACTTACAACCCATGCGCATACCCTCTAAACTTCGATCCACTGCTTTATTACCGCACAAAGATTCCGTTTCGCTCAAATTTAACCCATTCTACTTAAGAATAATATGTTGTGTAAAAGAGTGCGAATTCAAATAAATAGCGTCAGTGAAAATCAAGTCATTTTAATCTGGAAATTATTTGCCCTGTTAGAGAATCAATCAAGATGAGGGTAGTAAACCTAAGACGGGCAGGCTTGAGGCGGAATGACAACGACGGGGATGTGACTGTGCCGGGTGATGTACTTGCTCACAGAACCGAGATGAACAGCCCGGTGGATGGCTTTGTGTCCATGCGATCCCATCACGATCATATCGGCGCCACGAATCCGCGCGGATCGAAGAATGGCATTTCCGATGGCAGAATGACTCTCCACTGTGATGCAAGCGTTGCAGCGCGTTGCGCCTGCTTCACTTGCAAGTTGCAGGAAGACCTGACAAACTGCCTTGCCCTCGGTGAACGCCTTCTCCATCACTCGTGGCACCCCTTCGCTTCCTCCTCCCCCGTTCACCTCCATCATCGATACCGGCACTTCCTCTTCCACTGGGGTGCTGAGGTCGGGGGAGATGACGTGGATCAAAGTAATGGCATCTTCTCCCTCTGCTTCATCCTCCGCCATTCTGGATCCGTTGGTCTTGGCACCGCTCCGCCACATGCACTGAAGGAACCACTGGAATGCACGACGGCAGTGGTGGCTCCTGTCCACCGCAAAGAGGATGCGACGATAGCCAGGCATGCTCTACGAGCGAGTGAGCAAGTGATGATGGACTAAATGTGCCCCCTTGTGTTTGCTCGAAAGGGTCAAAGTACACAGTCATTGAGCGGCGGGGATGCAACAACTTTTATGCACCTGTGCGAAACTCCGTGCTTATGGGCTTGTGCTTCGTGCATGTATAAATGCGTGAGCGCTTCCGGTGGGCAGAACGATCAGTCACTGTTGACAGCCTTTAAGTGGGTGATGGGTTATAAAAAGGTGAAGCTTATCAGCTTGTTCTAGCTCTAAGTGTATCACCATGGTGGCAATGTGTCAGATTTCGGTTCAGAAAACGCTTATTTCTCAGCAAGGAACGCAAATATCCTTATAACAACAGTATTGATGACAGTGGTTTGAAAAGATGAACAAGCTTGTGACCCTTAAGGGTACTAACCAACAATACACCGATCATCCATGAAGGCTGTTGAATAGCTCAAACGAGAATGTCGTCCTCCAATGCGTAGTTTGATGTAACTTGTGCGTTTTTTTGATTCGAGTGGTAAATAATAACTTGGGTAACAAAATCAGATGCGCTTCTCAGGTCTGAAACAGTTTGATTCAGATGAATACAAGTGGCCAATAGGGTCCCTTTACTTTTTGTAATAAAAGTAAACGACTATAGCGGGTTGAAATAGTTACAACTGCGATTGAGGTGTTTGTCAATGGATGATAGTGAGTTGGGTAGGATCCAGTTTCTTGGCTGCTTGGTTGCTGCCATGATTTGCTCTTCTCAGGTGATGCAGGCGGCAACGCATTGCTTCATCACTGGCGGCCTCAAGTATGACTAGAAGCTGTTATTGGCACACTAATCATTGAGTAACCTGTCGAGAGGGAAATTCAATTCTCCTTGGTGAAAGTAGAAAGGATTGTTTCTGTGGGCGACCCAGCAGTCTTTGAGTGATTCATCAGCAGAACTAAGTGATGCAATTGAACAACTGCGAGGGTGGAGTTTCTACTACAGCGTCCTCGTCACTGTTATACCACAAATTTGACGAGAAGCTAGCTCCTGCAGCTATTGGATCTAAATTAAACTCGATTTGTAAAAATTAGAAGCTGGAATCAGATGGTTTACAATCAACCAGTACTTGGTGAAATGAGAATTGAGAATGACAAGAAAGTAGCGGAGAGGTAAGTCACGATAGACTGACAAAAACAATAGTATGCCTCTGGCAGATACAGCTTAGTAACAAGAAGTTATTTCTACTTTGTTTTTGATTTAAGATTTTATTTCGATTATTAGCTCTGAGAGAACCATGTCAGTTTCATGAAGCATTTACAATACCATCTTACTCTTCCACACCTAAATAGTATTTCTTGGCCATGTAGCTTAAAGTGATTCAAAAATGGCCAAAGTCTATAGCAGATTTACTCTTTGATAATTTTGTGAACGATTCTTACAAGTTTCGTCGCTGCTATCACGTATTCTGGCACCATAAAACCGTTCCTTTGATCCCTTCTTAAACCGAGGTGGAAGTCGAAAAAGGTCAATCGAGATTGCGTGACTCGATTTCCGACTTGACGGTGATAGCTATGGACGGGGACTAAAGGAAGTGGAAGCCCCTGCGACAGCACGTGCGATCTGAGATGCAGGGAAAACCACAGGGTGGGGGGAGGGAATGAGAGGAGGATTAGGAGAGTGCCATTTTTCCCCCTTTTTCAATTACACGCATGGCTGTACTTCCATCCCTAGTGCTCTCTTGATGGTGAAGCGGAACGTGGGTTCGGATTGGAACTGTGTGCGCCCAAGTGGTCTGCCTCCGACAACTGGTAAAATAATTGCGCCACGTGAGCCTAGCTTCCCCTTAAAGTTCCGGTCATGTTCTCCTGTAAATGAAGTTTCACAAAGGATGATTAAGGGCAGCCAATGAAACTTCCCGTCCATGGTGGCTAGTTTTTCTCTGAGGCAGACCCTGGAGTAGAAAGGGTTAACAAATTACGATCAAGTGTGATTTTGAGACTTAATGGCCGAAAATGTGGATCTCGGTTGATACCTTTAAGTGCTGAAATAGAGTAAAAAACGTTTTGTTATTCAAAACGAGAACTTTTTGGTTTGATGCAATCTAATGAAAGCTGCTCTGAAAAGGTTCTACTGTGCCCAATCAGATTATAGTATCTGGGTTTTAGAAAACCTGAATGACTGCTTGTCACTTTCAATCATATCTGGGTAATTTTAAGTTCCTCAAAGCACATTTTGAGCTTTTGCGTTTTGTTACCTACAAACACGAAATGACCATTAAACAGGAGTACATGAGGCCGCCAGAGTTCATTCTTTCATTGAAATAATTAACAACGATTGATGGACCACAAAAATGCTACAGTAAAAGCCTCTCAAAGATAAAGCCTGACCGCCTCATTGTAGTGTCTCTTAATGTTAGCATCTACAGCTTAAATCGGGCTTGTAAGTACACAGCTCTTCAAAAATCTGGGTAAAATCATTTAAAGCGTGGATGTTTTTAACGAAAATTGCAACGTGATATTTTAAATTTTGAAAGAGTGATCATGTAGTTGCCTGCAGTTAGCGCACTTGCACCCAGTGTCAAACTCAGAGAAGTACTAACCACCATAGCTTGGATGTTTTATTCCTAACCTAATGTGGCACCAACCGTTCCCATAGTCTTTTCTCCTTCCTTTGAATCAAATGTGTCACATATGCGTGACTTGCGACAGAGACAAAAAATCGGGACGTCACATATGTGTGACTCTAAAAGAGGATGTGTTAAAAAGGAAGGAATTATTTTGAGGGATCAGTTTCTGATGCTGTCGGAAGACATAAAGCTTTACCTTTCCTAATTCATTTATGCGATGCCATTTACGACCGGCACAAGTGGCTGTTCCCTGTCCTCCCCCTCTCGGTCAAAGGGATTGGATATTTCCCCAATGATCACCATCACGCCAACGGCCAGGCGTCCCACCTCGAATACCCCCAGCCACCAATCCACCTTCCTCCGTTTTACCAGTTGATTGGTTTCGCACGGTTCATCAACACGAGTTGGCATAAATCGTAGCTTTAAAAACTTGCTATAGTCGTCAAAAAGCCTTTCAAAACGTCAAATATATAATTTAAACAAGGCCAGTATTCATTGCATCAGTGCCTACTCCCAACGTAATAGCCTGATGTCCTTCATCCCCACTTTCTTCCGTATGAAAAACTTGTTTTGGAAGAGCTTTAAACCGATTTCACTACTCCCGCCTCCGCACTTTACAAGTCTCGCTTGCGTTCCCTTTTGGCATTTAAATCTACGTCCTGAAAAGAAATCCCCCTTTAATTCAAAATATCAGTTCGGAATTGTATTGTAAAGTAGTCGAATAAATTCTACATTCACAGCAATAAGAGCAATCGGAGAAAATGGTTGTTTAAGATTTTAAGAAAGGGGGGAAAATTTACCATCTGTGGAGTTAGCATAAAGTAGAGGATTTAGCTAACACCCTTTGACAATTCTTCCCAATTACCTTTTTGAGGTGATAACTGGATCTGCGGCGTGGTGGACTACCCGAATTAGCTAATCAGGGCCAGGAAGGCATTCATGCTGCGGTAGGTGTAGAGAACGGCTGAGAGATTGATGCCAGAACCGCATGCCTTCGGCTTGGAGGCTAGTTCATGGAAGGTTGGAAGAATTCGCGCAGTTTTGTATACCAGTAAATGAATAACTAAGTGCAGAAGCTTAGAAGTTTGAATGTAATATCGATGAGGAATTTATGCTATACTGACCAGGGTAAGCATGAGAAATTACGTCAACCACTGATGGGTAGGAGTCTGGTGAAAAGGTCGGTAAGCCCACATCACTTCATTGCAGGAAGTGTAACTAGTTACACTGAAAATCATTCCATTGTAGTCTCAGCGATGAGCAATTGAATTCATGGTGCAGGGCGAAGTGCCCTAGACGTGTTGATGTCAGCGGGTGAAATTACCACGCATGGAGGGCTGAAAGAGGGGGAGAAGTGAGGGATCGAGGGAAGTAAGAGTTTCAAGAGTTTAACTAATTTTCAACGCCAGCCCCCTTGGTATTGCGTATTTAAGTGTTTATTTTTACTAACTTCCCCCCTCCTCCACCCGTATTCCCGCCCCCCCCCCCTCCGCCACATCGATTGCGACCCTCAAGGTGTAGCTGTGCAAACAAACAGTCGGAATTTTAACATTTTAAACCAACAAGCCTTTGTTATGACAAGCAGAATGGCTAGCTTCGTGTGCACCTTCTTCATGATTAATGTGGTTTTGCGCTGACTGTTGTTTATTTTTATTGCTTCCTGTTTCAACACAACCTGAACATGAAACTTATTTAATTTTCTGCCATTGGGCACATGACTTTGTAGGTGGTTTGTAAACAGTCAATTTCTGTGTTCCTGTGAAATTGTAGATTGGAAGTGTTTGTGACCAAAAAGATGCGAAGATATAACTGTAAAAGGGAAACTTCTTTGAGGAGAATCGTCGGGGCTCATCAGTTACGTAGCTGGGAGAGAGTCCTATTTCAAAATCTATTAGACAATAGAGGACCCCGTACTGCATACCACAAACGTTATCCATGTTAAGACTGTATTTCTCCTCATCGTCATTCTTACCTTCACGACCCACCGATTTAAAACTCTCCTAGTGGTGGTTATCTTAACGTTAGAGTTTAACAATGTCACAATGACACAGGTGGGAGAATAAATGGTTAAGAACTGGAATTGTGATAAATAGGTGTAGAGCTGGCTGGGATGAGTGCATACCTTGGCTTCAAGAGACAAACCTCTTATAAAGCGGAGTCCGAAGAGAGTTTTGTGCCATTTTGTAGCAGAATGGGATTAATTTAGCATGACTATGCTACTGTAAGGGTTATTCCAGTCTCCACCTAGGCGCCACAGGCCCCTCCTACTCGTCCCTCAGCCTCTCTGTACGTTTACATCAAAACCATTTTCAGAGGTGCCCTCAAGAGAGACTTAAAAAGTGTGTTTCTTCTTTACAATAACATAAAAACTGACAGAAAGTTAAAGTCATAATGATC